AAAGACAAACTTTTCATATCTTTCACTTTTAATGACGATGTTTTTCCAGCCACAAAGAAGGATAGAATAAACTGTTGACCAGTAATCACATCCCTTGATCAATAATAGCCGGATATCAAAGTCTATATATATACACACACACACACACCAAAGATGACGTGGAGTTGAAAAATGCTATACAACCCTGTTGTATCTGTGCCAAAATTTTATTTGTAATCTGTTGATTAGGCCTGGTCTGATGCAACCTCCCAAACTAAGTGAAGTGGTCAACTGTCAAGTTAAACTTTAAGCACCACTAACTACCACTACCAAACTCGCTAGTTTATTAGCCGGTCCCAAGCCCGGATAAAGAGGGAGGGTTGGGGCGTGGTGCTAGCAACTCCACTTCCCGTAAAACAACCAAATCGCTACAGAAACTTCAACGAATAAATATATTTAAAAAAATACTAAAAATATAAACAATAACCTTATTTTTCGTTGGAATCGAGGAAGTGAAATGACGCAGGCTGGTGAAAGCTAGCCTTCGAGAAGTCAGTCAGCCGATGTACCTTCTTTCGATGAAAGCAAAAATAAGGATGGGTACGTGGAATTTTCGTACAATGTACGAAACTGGAAAGGCTGCCCAGATAGCCACAGATATGAGAAGATATAGAATAGAAGAGTTGAGAATCTACGAGAGCAGATGTGAAAGGTGCCAACTATCAACTGGTGAGACAATAATCTACTCGTCAACAACAAAATTCCGTCGGATTTTTAATACAAACACGTCAAGTCAGTCAGTTCTTCAATAAGGATCAGAAACTTGACCAGCGGGTGGGTCACAAAGAATATTTCCAACAGCCTGTTGCAGACCAGACCTTTATCAACAACAACTGTCTTCGCTGGCTCTATACTAAAGATCAGATGGCCGGGCCGGGTTGGGTCGGAGAGAATCACCAACTATGGGAAACTATGGGAACAAACAAACAAAACAAGAACCAATCGCCCAACCAACAAATATGCAGGAGAAAGTGGAGATGAATGCATTGGACACTCGCTCGCTGAGATGGCCACCAATGGGTGACATCACGCGCGCGTCAGGCCATTTCTCGAGTGGAACCCTGCCGAAAGGGAAGCGGTGGCGAGTGGGACGTCAGTGTAAGGGTGACATGGAGGAGATCGTGTGAAGAGGAGGAGGAGGAGTTGAAACAGTCAGTATGGACTAAGATGGATGGATTCAGGTGAAAAGTACAGCAGAAGGAAGACAGAAGTGGCAAGTGGAGACGTGCAGTTGAAGCCCTATGTTCCACTAGGAAGCCAAGGGAACAATAATAATAATAACCACTAACGGACTACGGTTGCCTCAATGACCTTGAAACGTGAATCGAGCGAGATAATGAAACCTGGCAAATCATGTTGCCATTATAATCAATAAAATATCCTCATCGAAGCGTTATGCTCTTAAATGAAATATCTGGCAAGTTTCAGCTTAGGTTTCGGAAAGACTAAGTTACGCTTTAAGCCATGGACAAGTCAGAGTTAGGTTGACCTAATAAAAGTGAAATTAAGGTTGGTTCGAGTTAGATTACAGTTAGTTCATGCATATTCTCACGATAGGGTAACGTTCAGAAAAGATGAGGGTTATTGTTAGGGTTAGAAGCCTTAAATAATTACACACATAGAATGTGGTTAAATTACTCTGTTGATATAAGAATAGAACTTATGCACTGTGTCGATAGAGTATAATTCCATTGTGGGTAAAATTTATTTTGATAAAGCCTCACGGCGTAATATTTACTGATGACGTTTCGAGCATATTTTATTGCTCAGTAAATATTACTATATAACAGTATGAGACTTTATCGAAATAAATTTTACCCACAATGGAATTACACTTTGTTGATACCTAAAAGTGAGAGCTATTTTTATCACATGTGTGAGGAAGGTATCCTCTGTAACACTTTATACTATTTTTATGCATTTTCAGTTCATAAATATATGTATTCCACACACAAAAATGCCTCCTTCACGTGACTGAGGCGTTCGAGGTCATTCGCTGATTGGTAGTCGGTGGTGCTTAAAGTTTAACTTCACCTGGTCCACACACGCTCGACCATTTTTACTTCGGTTCAGCATATCTTTAGAAACAAGGAGTTAATGGAGACAACTTCTTCAGCATCAGTGTTTACATTTGATGCAGACAAGATAAATCCTTCAAGGTATTCAGAAGATATTGTAGTTAATTATTAGTGTCTTCAATTTGGAAGGTAATACTACCTGCATTATCTTAGTTGATCAATGGTCACGTCAATTGGTGGTAGATTCACGTTGAATATTCCCATTTCACATATAACATCAACTCTTCTAGTCAAGATACAAAACACACATGTCCTGAAATTCCATATTAGATTGTTTATTAGATGTGTCACACAGTGAAACAGTATTACTGTTTACTGGATGACGAGGTTTCGAACAAAATTTATTGTTCATAATCATTTCATCAATTATAATCACACGACTTCGAAACTTGAGTTTTATAGTTTTCTTTGTCCTCTCCTATTTGTCGTCGTTGGGGTAGTAGAATTTTCCTGAGGTTCCTTCTTTGTGTGGAACTACTACTGATGATTTAGATTTCTTATTGTTCGTGTCGTCATTAATATTATTATTATTATTATCACTATCGCTACTATCATTATTTATTTTATTTTAAATTTCCCAACATACTTTCTGACTAACTTATCAGGGTAATTATTAAGTATCAAGGCTTCTCTTATGTGTCTCACTTCCTACCTTAGATCTTCCTTGGTATTACTTAGTTTTTGTGCTCTCTCACTTAAACATTTCACCAAACCTTATTTTTACTGACATATCATGGGATGATCGGATGTCCAAATATCTGTCTGAATGTGTGGGTTTCCTGTAAACACTTGTGTTTAACTTCTCATCTTTTTTTCCTTTTTACGTCGCATTCTAATATTGGAAGCTTCCCCTGCTTCCTGACTTTCGAATTCATCATAAGCGAATTGAATTGCCTCCAACCTTCGAGTTGATGTGTTCGAAAAATCTATCTATATCTTGTGTTCTAAGTGCAGCGAATGTATCATCTAGGTACCTTCACCATACTTTTGGGGGCGGGGGTGGGGGGGGGATGAACGTTTCTTCAATCGCTATGCTTTCCCACCTATCCATGAATATATCTGCTATAACCGAGAATATTGATGATCCCATGGCAACTCCCTCAGTTTGTTTGTATATTTTTCCTTGGAATTGAAATACTGTGGAAGTCGTATATATATATATATATATATATATATATATATATATATATATATATATTAACACATGTTCTGCGTTTATTAGGTCTTAATAATTTCTTTAACTGACAATATTTACTGTCAATTCTGTTTCCTTCATTCATTCGATGATTACACCGAAATATTCGCCTTTTGTTGAAATATTGACTCACTCCTAGTCGAGAAGCTTCATCAATGTTTGAGGATTAAAATGATGCTATTTTGATGAATAGTTATCACTAGCATTGAAATCTACAAACATTCGGATTTCATCCTATATCGGGACCCTTCAACTAGACATGCACTCGCATCATACCCAGTGAGTGATAGTGTCCCCAATGTTCTAAATGATATATGTAGTGCATAACAAAACTTTGGTAAATATATGTGTAACGACAGATTCTGATAGCTTTCAGTATTCTCTCTCAGTGGGAAATACCGTCGTCTCATTCATTGACGAGTCCCAAAATACGATGAAATGTGCATCTTTTATTCGACTGTTAACGTCACAACCAAAAGATCCAATAGGAAAAGAAGATGAAATCAATACAATTCATTAAAATAAATTGCATGCACTGTGATAAAACAACTACATAGGTCAAAGTCGGTATTATCCCTTTCGAATCAGCTCTGTGAAGTGAACACAATATGTTGACTTCTTTCACACTGACGGCAATGTGGACGATTTACTGACTGACACCCAATTTGATTGGAAGAGTGTAGAAATTTTTAAAATAGAAGAAACACTTTAAAAAAAGTGCCAAGGGATTTCTAGCAGCCTGATTAACAAACACATTACTTTATATAAAAGGACACTAGTGGTTAGTAACTAGCGTAGTGTGTGTCCAGTCTTTTTTGTTTGGTGCAGACTGTGAATACTATCGATCAGTCAAGTCTGAAAAATGTAGCCTGGATTTCTAGGTGGCTGGCTGATATTAGATGGTTGGAGGGGATTGGCAGGAAGCCCCGCTCGACCTAGATTTCGTGCTAGTTGGCACTTACCAATTAGTCAGCAAGACGTAATTTGCAACCACCACCTTGAGGGGAATTGAATTTCAAGGTCAGTAAAAGTGGACAATAGAGATTAATTAAATTAAAAATCAATCACAACACAAAATAAAACTATATCATATTCTTGGAGAACTGAAACACGCTCACTTCATATTCAGGCTTGTGCACTGAAGATGTTGCGTCCAGAAGGACACCGAAAGCTTCGCAATTAAATCAACCACAGCTCCTCGGAGAACACACACACACACACACACTTCAATCAAAATCATATGGATTATACTTTAGTAACTGACAATAAAACACACAGTAAAATAGGCACCAGATACTTTTTTGATTGAATGGAGGATTTCATCATGAGCTGACATCAGTTAGAGAACCATTGGAAAACCTGGGATTACTGACCAACCAACTGTTTCGTCCTAGTCTGGAACTCTTCATCAGTAAGCACCAACCGGGGTTCGAACCCAGGACCTTCTGCTTACAAGGCGAGCTCGAAGACCATTGAGCCACTGGGACCAGATCCAATGACCTGGCCCTGGGTTTGAGCCCCGGTGGATAAGTGGGTGCTTACTGATGAAGAGTGCCAAACTATACTGACGAAACAGCTGTCCAGTACTCCCTGAAGGTTTTCCAATGGTTCTGTAACAAAAGTCAGCTCATGATGAAATCCTCCATGCAATAAAACAAAATCCCTACAAAACTAGTACTTGAAAATACCTTTTTGTTTACAAGCCGCGATAGCGTCATTCAACTTTCTGTTGTCACGTTTATACACATGATCAATTGCATCGATGAAGTAATCATCCTCGGAAGCAATGACAACATTTCCAGTAAGCTTTTCAACTAAAAATCTGAAAAATTAAGAAAAACAAAGAGGAGAAAAGATCAGATAGATTATTGTTGAAATAAAATAATAGTAGTAGTTGTAGTAGTAGTATTGATGAATTAAATGTTTTTATATTTTAACTGATTCAAAATGCCAATTAAAATTTTCAGAAGAATGGATACTGAACAAAGAGTACTCTTTTCGATAACCCCTTCATCATCAGGCTCTATAGTTATATACACACTATAATGAATGAATGAATTAGTGTTATTTTTTTTCCTTCACGTTCCCCAGTGGAACATTGGGCTTCAAGCTAGTGGCTCGAAGTTTCGGTAGCAGTGTTTTGTTTTACAGGATGGGGTTGCTAGCCTCATGCCCAAACTTTCCTCTTTACCAGAATTATTTCTGGCTTAGCAAGGTAAAGGAGTGCGTCTGTGGCCGGGGATCGAACCCCGGACCATGTGCATGGTCGGCGAGCGTCCTAACCGCTTTGCCACCGACGAATTAGTGTTATGAACAACATTAATGTTGCTGTTTAAATAACATCGAATCAATAATATTGATAGATTACAGCTCAGTAGCATCAACATAAAAATAAGCTGAATGTCAGAAAAATTAGGAAAGATAAAATTACAAATTCATGAATTTAAAATCAGGGCACAAGTAGGGGGTGGACTTGTTTGTTTTACACACAGAGCGCTGGTTGTTTCAGGTGAATTGAGATAGCCTCTGCGGTACCTTAATGTTTTTATTTATTTATTTTTTTTGGCAATTTATTTGCTACCCGCGCGGCAGATGATGTTTCATGTTCATATAGTTTCTCAATACTTCTTTCAACCAGACGGTTATGTATTATTGTGGATAATTTATCTATGGTAGTTAATCAACGTATTTCTACTTTAGATAGTTGGGGACGATCAGCCACAGGAAGCCCCACTCGACCTAGGTTTCGTGCTAGTTGGCACTCATCAGCAAGGCTTATGTGCAACCTTGAAGGAATTCATATCCCTTCTGAGATTCGAACCCGCGTTACCCAGTGAGTACTGAAGTCAGAGATGTTTTTTTATTATCTTTTTATTTACAGCTTGATTCCACACTGTATTTTTGGTACAAGTATGGAATTTTCAGCATGGATATCGGTAGCGCAAATTTTGCAGGCCGACCATAGATATCAGGTGTGCGTCGGCGGGTTCGCGATTGACCTCCTGTAGGATTGTTGTGGGTATTTTGACCGGAAACTAGTAACTAGTGGATACTGAACAAACAGTACTCTTTTCGATAACCTCTTCATCATCATCATCATATATATATGTATATATATATATATATATATATATATATATATATATATATATACATTACAGTGAATGAATGAATTAGTGTTATGAACAACATTAATGTTGTTTAAATAACATCCAATCAATAATATTGGTAGGTTGCAGCTCAATAGCATCAACACAAAATAAGATGAATTTCAGAAAACGCATCAGGAAATACAATATTACAAATTCATGAACTTTTAGCCCCTACTGTAGGCTGGTCAGGGCAGTAGTAGTAGGGGCTAGCTGGACTTGCTTCTCTTGAACACAGTGTACTGGTTGTTTGAGGCGAATTTCAATAAATAGCCTCTGGTGTTTGTAGCATGGGGTGATTCGATGATGATTTTGGAAATTTATTAGGAACCCGGTAGATGATGATAGAGAAGGATTGTTCTACGCTGGTTGGCTGGCTTTGTGGCCGGTCCGTTTGCAACCAGATGGTCGAATATCGAACTGATAATGGTGGTTTTCACTACAGTTTTACTTAGCCATACTGGGAGATGTTCCCCAGCGAGAACGAAAAATCAACGGCCAATATAACTCGCTCCACCACAGTCACAGTTGAATTGGTAGATACAATTTGAAGTGGTTAGTCAAGGTACTTCATCCTTCAGTCGAGGTAGCACCATCGGTTGTGTAGAGAATAATACGTGTAGTTCTCCAGCATTCAAAGTTCTTTGAACTGATTTTCTTAATTTTCTCGTAATTATTTCACTTGGTATATATCGCCCTTGAATTGTAGTCGTATATAAAGTGGCTTCAGCAGTGCGCACCAACTTATACACCGGGATTCGAACCGAGGACTTTCTGATTACAAGGCAAGCTGGCTTGTAGACCACTAAGCCACTGGCCAGCCTATGAATTCTATGTTCTGCCAATTCATGACATAGTGGACACCACTTCGTAATGTCTTCTCCGATGGGTTACTCTACTGCCTCACCTTGAACCTGCTCTACCCTACTACTGGTGACGACTGATGATGAACTCTTCCAACCAATTTATCAAAAAATAAATTTTATCTACAATGGAATAATTTATTGCTACTACTTTGATGATAAATAACGACATAACGACACTTTCAAACAGTGAAACGCCAATAAAAATAATAAGAGTATCGTTTTGTTTTTCATTTATTCATTCATTGAGAAATAGAAAGAAAACTTTTATAATAATAATAATAATAATAATGAATATCATCATATACCGAATGTCCAAATTTTTTCAAACTATTAAAAGTGAACTTGGGGTTTGGAAATATACAAAAGTAGTAGTATGTCAAAAAGGTATGAGAGTCTGTGGTTGATCGATAGAATGTCAACCAGTTGGATAGGAAATCGATACTTTTTGGGGGTCCGATTCCTGGAAATTAACATACTCCTAAACCTTATTTACCTGGAGGTAAACCCTGGAAAAATTCGCGGGCGCGGAGGGGGGAGGAAGGGGCTTGGGAACGGGGCATGAGGCTAGCAATCCTATACCATTTATTGTTACTGTGAAACTTCAAAGCTCCACTGAGAACGGAAAGAAGTGAAAAGAAAAATTCCGGAAGGTAATAATTTATCATTTAAGATAAAACTGATTTTAAAATCTCAAGTTATTTATTGCTATAATAATAATAATAATCCGAATACGCATCTAAATGTGGAATTGAGTGGATTTGGGGAAAAATTGGTTTCAGTAGTGATTCATAAAATTTTATAGGAAATATCTGAGTGACCGTGACCCTCATTGAAGCGCTACTGCTCATCCTATCACCACCCACCCGATAAATATTTGTTAATCTGGAGGGGGGAGATGTGTATCTTCAGCTAAAAAAATATTCCACCTCCAGTAAGTATGAATCGCACTCAAAATAATTCATTCTGCACAAACAGGTAGTACTGTCAGCTGTCAAACAATAAGTGTGTTTGTGTGTGTGTGTGTGTGTGGCTCAGAGTTCGGTACTGGAGTTATAAACTTCGGCTATCGAAGACCTCCATCAATATACTGCATATAAGATCTCATATTCAGTTTGTTTTAGTCTAGTAAAATATGAGGACGTCTAACTCCATTATAGATAAGATTTTGTTTCGATAAATCACACAGTGCTGTTATACAATAATATTCACTGACGACCACGTTTTGAGTACAAATTATTGCCACTCATAATCATATCAAGTCACTCACTCACACAACTTTTTTCCTTCATTTATATACATGTGTGGAATTGACTAGATGCTTGAATAAAAATCATTATAGGATAGTGTACATTCAGAAATAATAATAATACGAGTGTTATTGATGAATTACCGTCAGATAGGAAATAAGACGAGTGTTTTTATAGTCAAAATAAATAAGTAACTCGTTAATGAATCCTGACTGGTTCATCGTGTCTACACCCAACACAACACATGCAACAGAAATGACTAAATGCAAATATCAGAAATATGCATGGAAGATATTATTACCACCAGTCACTCAGTCAGTCAAATCACATGAGGATAATAAATAATCTCAAATTGTATTCTGTTTCAATTCAATTCACGTACATCACAACATTCCAACAGGTTACTTATTTTGACAATAAAAGAAACACTCGTCTCATTTCCCATCTGATTGTATTTGATCAATAACACTCATATAATTATTATTTCTGAATGTGCATTATCCCATGTTGATTTTTAGTGAAATATCTAGTCAACTCCACACAGGTATATAAATGAAGTAAAAGGCTGTGTGCGTGAGTGACTTGATATTGATTATGAAGAGCAATAAATAGTGCTTGAAAGGTGGTCATCAGTTAACATTACTGTGTAACACTGTGTGACAGCTTATCAAAATAGAATCTTATCCCTAATGGATTAGTGTATTGTAGCCAAATAGGTAGAGACAAGAAAAGACGACAAAAAGGCATAACATGAAGGACGGATGCAGGACAACACAGGAGATCTGTGCAAATGACGACGGTATAAATAATTTCCCTATATGTGCATATCAAATTGTACAGATATACGAACATTAAAAAAGACAGAAAGCAAGAGATTCGGAAGAACTTGGCTAAGCAGAAATGTGAGGAAGAAATAACACCAACACATGGGAAAATAATAGAGGGATTTTATTGAATGTGTCAGAGAGAGAGAGAGAGAGAGACTGAGGAAAGTGAATGCATCTACGCCACTGAGGAACGATTTTTGAGGAAGTTCGAAAGTTCACCAATTGTCTCCAGTCTTCATTAGCTGTAATCATTTCGATGACACCACCAACTACCAATAGTCAGTTTACACTAACCTATATTGGCTCAGGATTGATTGTCAATATCAAGATTTCATGAGTTGATATACACACCAAGTTTTGGTTTGGCATGCGTAACAACACATAACCTAGCCATCTCCTCAATCTATGTACTTCTACAACCTCATCGATTGATTCTCCCTCCTTACCTAAAAATACTCTACGCTTAACCTGAATATTACTCACCCTATTATACCACCTAACACACCTATGAACAAAGGAAGCTAGCTGCAACATAACTTCCACTTTTAACGGTCATGTCTCATTCACAGCCATTAAGGGGGATGGAGAAAACTGGTGCGCAGTACACATGTACTTTGGTGGATATCCGGATATCACATCTACGCCAGAGGTGATGTAAGTTGGTATACGCCACACGAGCCTTTTGTATCCGTACCGAGATTTCGTCAACTATCTATCATACTCAGATAGATTG